AATGTTGTACAGCAAAGGATGGCTTTTGGTGAGCCGGCACGAATTTTGTTGATCCCAGTAAATGCTCCGGTTTATGCCTGAAGTAAAATTTGACCTGTATCTCAAAGAAGAATCTGCTGAATGTTCATTGGAGTAAAGAGGAAGTGAAAGGATTAGGAAGGGAAGGGATGATAAAGCCTTATTCTACAGCATGCATCTAAAACCCACCTGTGAAAGGCTCTGCATAAAAATGTCAATTGAAAATGACAAGCTTAATCCCAGTTAATGGATGTCAGTCCCAGTGCACGTCAGACATTTTGGCGGTAATGCTGCAACTGATAACTGATAAGCCGACGTACATCAAGCAGCATTGACAGCAGGCACACTGCGTTGGACAGAATTAATACAATCAGCAATATGGTTGGTCGTTGTAAATGTATTCATGCTTTGGCTAAAATAAGAAATAAATAAGGAACACCAGAAACAGAAGACGATATGTGACAGACACATGAAGAAGAAGAACAGAATCTTGCTTTATTTAAGATTAAACATCATAAATTTTCATGAAGATGTTAAAAAGTGATTTTTTAGCAAGGAAGGAAAAATAGCAGGAACATTCGTGGTGAACATGGGCCAACTGAAATATTGATGAATGTGATAGGCAGAGAACTGTCTAATATAGTAAACAGGGTCACAAACCATGTTAAAATTGGATTAAACCTGAAGGGATAAAGTGCAATTCGAAGGCAGTCTGATGGTCAGCTGTCGGAAAGCATGAATTCTAATAAAAATAGCCTTAATAGATTAAGAAAGGACTTCGAAATATAAAATGAAAATTGTTTTCCGAGGGCCTTGCGGAGACAGGATCAAAAACTTAATGACTAGGAGCTGAATATTAAATTAGGATTTTAATATACGGCTATACTTGCATATTTGTGTGATCCCAGATCATCGGTGCACTTAGGAGAGCTGAAGAGATAGAGTTTAATTTTTAACAGCAGCTGGAGGTCATTTGGAAGGCAATCGATTTCAGGTTGCGAGTATGACCAATCCTGTTACGGAAAAGCAAAAAACAGGGACAGAATTTTTCGAAAAAATGGTTGATAGCAACTCCGGTTCCGACTGCTCGCAGGTTTCGACTGAAAAGGTTGACACACATGCAACGGTTTGCTTCTCTTTCCACCCCCGAATCGTTGTAAAAAAAGGCCGGACAGGGTCTTCGGTTGGAATATGTTCGTTCTGTCAGCCAGAATTTTCACCTGCTATAAGTTTTGGATTTTTTAAAATAGTTATCCACGTAGATTGTGTGACTTATAACATGCAAATACCAAAATTTAGGATGAATAACGTAACACTTACAAACTAGTATCGACGAATTTAGCCAAGCTTTGAAATGGTAGTGAACAATTTTAAGTGAATTAAAAGCATAAATGAGATATTAAAAGGGAAATCACATTGTTAAAAAATGCCAACAGTTTCGAAAAGTGAAACATTCCGAAAACGACATAAATCACCCTACCTGAGTAAAATAAGGTTTTATGGTACAGAAAGCCTGTCCATAGAAACTACTGGGTAAACAGACCTGCACACAAAACAGTTGGTCGATACCTATAGACCTTAAATGTATTGATTTTACCGAAACTTTGGATCTGTACTAAAATCTGAACATCCGAAACCGGTATATCAGCCGGAAAGCCAATAAGGAAACCTGGCGAACAGTAATGAGCTGAAACACTCGCAGCTCTGTCAAGCAAGGGAAGAATACTGGCGAAACACGTCTCTGAGCCTATAAGTTAATACCTGAGTTGTTAGTATAGTAAACTATAGCATCAGTATTTACTACGTGCAATTCAGAAGAAGAAGAAGAAGAAGAAGAAGAAGAAGAAGCGATCACTGGAA